TTTAAAATGAAGGCGAAGAGAAGGCGGAGTGGAAACAGGGGATGGGGAGGGCTAAGGGGTGCGGGATGAGGAGTTATGGGTACGTGGGGGGTGGGGGCTCTTGAGGTCAGAGGTTAAGGCCTACAAACGAGCGGGAAGCTTTGGGCTATCTATTTACCTTCTGCTTCTTCCTCTCTTCTTCTTCTTCTTCTCCTTCATTTTCTTTCATTTTCTTCTTTTTTTCTTTTTTATTTTTTCTTCGTTTTCTCCTTTTTTTCGTGTTATTTTTCTTTTTCCTTCGTCTTCCTCCTTTTCTTTTTCTCCTCCTTTTTTTTTCTTCTTCTTCTCCTTCTTTTCCTTCTTCTTCTTCTCCTTTCTCCTTTGTGGTTCTTTTCGATTTACTGTGTTAAGTTATCATGTTATCACTGTTTTGTTTTGTTTTGATTTTGTTTGCTCGTTTATCTTTCTCTTTGTGGTTCTCCTTCTGTGTCTCTGGCCTCCCCCCCCCCTGCGCACACATCCCCTCCCCCTCCCCCACCTCCTCCCCCTCATATAAGACCACACGACAAAAACAGAGCCCCCCCCCCTCCCCCTCCTTCACAAATACAACACACACGCATACTTTTCCGACACGCAGATACAATCCCCTTGTAAAGTCTCCTCCCCCCCCCCCCTTCATACAACCTCTCCCCTGTCTCTACCCCCACCCCTTTGCCATACCTCCTCCCCCCCTGACTCTACCCCCCCTTGTGATACCATCCCCCTCCCCTGACTCTACCCCCTTGTGATACCCTCCTCCCCCCGACTTTACCCCTTCCCCTTGTGATGCCTCCCCCCCCCCAATAACGCCCTCTTCCCATTGACTCTACCCCCTCCTTATGACGCCCCCCCCTCGTACCTCGCCCCCTTACCCCTTGACTATACCCCCTCCTTGTGACCCCCCCTTTCCCCTTGACTCTACCCCCTCCTTGTGATCCCCCCCCTTCCCTTGGCTCTACCCCCTCCTTGTGACGCCCTCCCCCTCGTATACCCCGCCCCCCTTCTCCCGCACCCTTCGTCAGATCACGTAATGAGCGCCATTGAAATCACCTTCAGCCGAAACACGGGCGTGCATGCAGCAGGTGATCAGTCAAAGGGTCAGCGTGCAAGCAGGAAAGCGATCTTTGGACTTCTGTTTCTCTTTCGTTTTTATTACTATTTCTCTTTTTTCTTTCTTTCTTTTTTTCACTTTGAATGTCTGTTTTACTGGTGCAATTATCATTATTTTTGGCAAGAGGCTGTTTACGTACTTTTTTTTTTTTTTTTTTTTTTTGAGCGAAGGTGATTATCTTTTTTGTTTGTGTTTTGCATTTTGTTTCCGTGTAGTTTAGGATGGCTTCATTTTCTTGCGAAATGTTTACGTCACTTTTTTTTTTCTTTTTCGTTTTGTGGCTGGATTCTGTGGCAGAGAATGGAGTCTTTAGTGTGCGGTCAAGTTACATTATTGTGGGAAGTATATTTTCCTTGGTTGATAGATGGAGTGAATTGGCATACACCATTCTCTTATACTGCGAGACGGAAAACAAAATAGGATCGAGAAAGAGAGAGTCGAAGGAGGGAGAAGACGGGCGAAGGGAGTCGAATTCCCTATAGCGGGGTCGCGCAAGAGGCCGGCTCCCTCAAGGTCTAACGTTGCCGAGGTAACTCTGTGTCTTATTTTCGATTTTTAACGAATTAAAAAAGAATGTTTCGCAGGAAAAACCACTGCTGCCGTTATGCCCAACGTAATGGCGGTTTGGTGGAAGAGAAATTAAGAGATGACATTCATCTGTTGTCGGGTTGTGTTGTTGTTGATCGTGCGTCTGGCAGCGTGGGCGGCGTCATACCACCCAATTCGTGACACTTGGAAGCTGCTGGACGAGGGGGCCCTGGGACTTGATGTTAAATGGTCTCCTCGAGAGATGAATGGAAGGGCTATTAACTCCGACGAAAGGGAGAGATAAAAAAAAAGAAGAGGAAGTCAGAGTACCTGAAGAAGGAAGGAAGGACAGGAGCTGGAGGCCGGTCCGTGGGCGAGGTGGCCGGGCAGGAAGGGTGGTGGGTGTGTGGGCCGACGAGGTAAACGCTGGTTGGGCGGGTGTCGGGTGAGCGCGGACGTCGGAGCGCCAGCCAGGCACAGTGCGACCCCGTCAGTGATCACGCGTGCACGCCGACGGTCCGCGACAACGAACACGCGGCCGCAACGCCGGTCCATGAGTGCCGCCGACACACGCAAGCATGGCTGATAAGAGTCCAGGGAAGTCGCCCACGCCCTCGGGTGGGGGCGGCGACGACGACCGCGGCAGAACTGAAAAGCGGCCGCGGTCTCTGCTCAACAAGGTGTCGTTCTTCGAGCAGGTGTGGTGGGGTCGGGCCAGGTCGCCCTCGATCGAGAGGGCGGGCGCCGGACGCAGGGAGGGCGGCATCTCTCCCGACGTGGAGGTCGGAACGGAGGTGGTGGTGGAGGACGTGGTCGACGATGGCCCCGGCCGGGAGAAGCGACCCCGGAGGACGAGCGTGAGCCCCGAGCGCCACGACCAGCAGCGGCGGTCGTCCGAGGAGGAGTGGGAGTGGGTGGAGGACGAGAGCAGCTCCTCCACGCTCGCCGAGGATATCGAGCGGCGCCTGGAGGAGCGGCGGAGGATGCGCTCGAGCAGCATCTCGCCCACGAGGGAGTGGGTGCAGCTGCGGCGGGGCAGCGACGAGGCGAAGGGCCAGGAGCGCCGCGAGCCACGCCCGAGCCCTGGGAGTCCACCTACTCCGCCCGCGGCTCGTCCATGGCCGAAGAGATCGAGCGGCGCCTCGAGGCCCACCGCCAGGAGGTGCGCCAGCGGCTGTCGTCGCCCGTGAAGGAGTGGCCGCAGCTTCGGCAGTCGCCCGGGCCGAGGTCAAGCCGCGGCACGACGCCCGAGCCGAGGTCGAGCCGAGGCGCCACGCCCGAGCGCGAGGAGGCGCCGGAGGCCGAGGCCAGGAGGAGCCCGGCGCGGCAGCTGGTGAGCCGCGAGGTGGTGGCGAAGGCCGAGCGCCGCGGCGGCGTGGCCAAGGCCGTCACCTCGACGACGCACACGACGACGGTCTGGGGCGCCGCCGAGGACACCAAGCCGCACACGGAGACGCACTCCTCCAGCGACCGCCTGGAGGAGGACGACCCCGACAGCGCCGGCCAGGAGGGCTTCCAGCGCGTCGAGGAGGAGGAGCGGGAGAGCATGGAGCGCGGCGACCGCGTCAGGTACAACCGCGTCGTGGTGCGCCGCACCGTCGAGCGCACCGTCAGCACGTCGCCCTCGCCGGAGCCGATGGAGCAGGAGGGCGCCGTGTCCCCGCGGCTCCTCAGCCCCTCCCCGCCCCCCGGCGAGGCCGGCGCGACGCCTCAGCACGCTCACAAAACCCGCAGCAGAACCAAGTCGGGACCAAGATCAAGACTCCGATCCCGCACGCCCTCCGTCGAGCGCATCCTGGAGGTGGAGGAGGCGGAGGACTCCCCCGCAGTGTCTCTCTCCTCCTCGACCGACCCGCGAATCCTGGATGCCCCCGAGGAAGAGCAACGCGCCGCCAGCGCCGCCAGCAAGAGCAGCGCGTCCCCAGATCAGTCTGGAAAGATGCCCGGCGAGCAGGCCTCCAGCAGGAGCGGGCAGGACGCGGCGAGCCCCGACGAGCGCCTGACGATGGAGGCGGTGAGCACCGTGCAGTGGGAGGAGGGCGGCACCCGCAACGAGGTCCGCCGCTACAGCACCCGGGTCCTGATCCGCGACCGCGACCCGAACTACACCAAGTACGTGATGACCTCCCGCACCGCCTCCCGCGACTCGCTCTTCTCCACCGCCAGCAGCAGCGAGGAGTCGCCGCGGTGGGAGGGCGCCCCCGCCTGGGTGGCCAGGGTCACCCCGCAGCCCGTCGACGAAGACGCACCGGAAGGAGACAAGGGGGTCTTCCGACAGAGGTCCAAGCAGTACCAGCAGCATATTTCCAGCCTCAAAGGTGAGGACACGCGCCCGCGCTCGCCGCTCGCCCATTGGCCAGCGATGAAGGGCGTCGTAACAGTGTCTATCATGTACATGATTATCATTACGTATTTGGTCTCTTTTGGCATGACTGTCTCTACTGCTCAGCGTTTCTCTTTTCCCCAATCCGCGCGCAATACTCGATTTCCAACACAAAACGGTTATAAAATTAAGACGTACAAAAATAGAAACTCGCCTTTTCACACACAGAAAGACATGAATAAAAGCTCTCAACTCCGTATCGGTTCCGCAAGCAACCCCATCCCTCAGTATCAAAAGAATCCAGTTATCGCTCCCGAAGACTTACGAGGAATTCGAGGAAGGGGGAGGGCGAGAGGGCGAGAGGCGAACATTCCCCACGCCCCAAAATGTGTAGAATAACACACATGACACCCGGGTTCTCTCGAGTCGACATGCGCTATCAGATACTCGTTAACACTAGAGACATGGCGATTAGCTGTTATCACGAAGTTATCTTACTCACCAGCGGGAAGATTGTGATTAAGCAACGCCTGAAGTCTTGCTTTTTCTCAATTGCTTTTTTTTTTACTTCGTCGGAATTGCGTTTATCCTTTTGAGTAGCTTATAAAAGGCAAGAGATGAGAGAAAAAGAGAGAAATGAGGAAGAAGAGGAGAAGGAAGAGGAAGAAGAGCAGGGGAAGAATAGAGAGAGGACGAGAAGGAAGTAGGAGTAGAGAAGGAAGAATGAATAGAGAAGGGAGGAGGAGTAGAAAAGAACTGAGGAATAGAGAAGGGAGGAGGAGTAGATAAGAAAGGAGGAATAGAGAAGGGAGGAGGAGTAGATAAGAAAGGAGGAATAGAGAAGGAGGGAGGAGTAGTAAAGGAAAGAGGAGTGAGAGGGAGAGGAGGAGGAGGAAGAAGAGGGGGATGTTCTCGTCACATTCTATCGCGATTCTTTCGTAACGAAGACTAGTTTGGCGGTGACTGAGGCTTCGCATTTTCGTGGAAGACAGGTTACCCTGCTTTTTATTCTCTCTCTCTNCTACCCTTCCACCCCTTCCTACCCTGTGCTCACTTCCTAGAACCTCTACTGAACTCATTGACCATAATTTAAGCCCTATTTAGTGCGACCCCCTCCTAATTCTTTCCCGCTTAAGGTTGCCGTCCACATCCCACTTACCGCTATCCCACCCGCCCCCTCTACCCCTGTGCTCCTTCACCAAGCACCCATCTGACCTCCTAACCTACCCCTTCCGCCCCCCTCCCTACCCGCCCTGTGCTTTCCCTTCCTACCCCTGTCCCCCACCCTACCCTTCCCTCCCCACCCTACCCCTCGGCCCTCCCAACCTACCCCTCGGCACTCCCCCTACCCCTCTGCCTCCCCCCTCCCTCCTACTTTCTCCCTAAGGTCTCGGAAACAAAAGAAACAAATAAAATCCGTGAAGGAGGACCTCCTGGCGGACATCGCATGCATACGCAGTGTCCAGTGTCGTCCGCAAGCGATGATTCAGCAACATTATTCGCGAAAGAAGGAGGAGGAGGAGGGAGGAGAGGAGGGGACGGAGGAGAGGGGAGGGGAGAAGGACAAACGAGAGAGGTAGGAGGGAGGGGGAGAGAGGGGGATGGAGGGGAGGGGGAAGGGGAGGAGACGGAAAGGAGGGAGAGAGGGGAGACGGAGAGAGGAGGCGGATCGGGAAGAGTGAGAAGGGGAGGGGGGGGTAGTACTAGGGCCATAGGGTTACGTAGAGCAGGTAGAGGTAGGTCAGGGAACGAGGAGGCTACGACTAAACAAGCCGCCGCCGCTGCTGTCAGTCACCCACATCAGTCACATCACGCTAAAATGCTACCTCAATCTCGACCTTATACTTGACCAACACCCAACGCTTTCTTCTCCCCTTCCACGCGAATCTCAGCCTGCTTGCTCGTCTGCCTGCTCGCTCGTCTGCCTGCTCGCCAGCCTGCTTACGACCTTCCTGCCTGTCTGACTGCCTGCATACGTACCTGCCTGCATGCCTCCCTCGCTAGTTAGCTGTCTGGCTTGGCGCTGACTGTCTGCCTCGCTGCCTGACTGGCTCCCTGGCTCTGCTCGCGCGCTCTGTCCTTCAGTCTAGCGAGAAATGTACATGGAGGAAGTCAGTGGCATTGATGGAAAACCCATAGAAGATCAACTTATTATCATGATCATCCTCATTATCATCATCATCATCATCATCATCATCATTATTAGTATTATTATCACCATTATTATGATTATTATTTTATTATTATATTATATTTATTATTATTTATTATTATTATTATTATTATTTATTATATTGTTATTTGTTGTTCTTATTATCATTATTATTATTATTATTATTATTATCATTATTATTATTATTATTATTATTATTATTATTATTATTATTACCACCATTATTATTATTATTATTATATTATTAATTATTATTTATCATTATCATTATTATCGTTGTTGTTATTATCATTATTATCCTTATTGCCATTATAATTGTTATTATTATCATTATTATTATTATTATCATTATTATCGTTGTTGTTATTATCATTATTATCCTTATTGCCATTATAATTGTTATTATCATCATTAGTATTATTAATATTATTATTGTTATTATCATTATTATTATCATTATTATTGTTGTTGTCATTGTTACTACTATTATCATTATTATGGTTTCAAGCATCAATAATTAAGACTTCCCGTTGTGCCTTTTGCCTCCCACAGCAGACGAGCACAGTTTGGGGTTGTGATTCGTGACTGAGATGATTGTGGATGTTGTGGTTATGAGGCGGTTATGTAGTTATGAGGAAACGTTTGTGATTATGAGAGGATAGTTGCATAGGGGAACTGGTGTGATTATGAGTCGACATTTGTTTGTTTTTTATTATTTACATCACTGTTATTATTATTATCATTATTATTGCAGTTATATAATTATTGTTATTATTCTTATTCTTATTTTATTCTTATTCTTATTCTTATTCTTATTCTTATTCTTATTATTGTTGTTGTTGTTATTATTATAATTATCAATATTATCATCATTATTTATCACTAATTTTATTGTTATTGTTATTAGTATTATTATAATTTGCGGTGTTCTTTTCACTTTTATTATCATGATTGTTGGCATTATTATCATCATTATCGTTATCATTATCATTATCATTATTATTATCATCATTACAATCATCAATATCGCCATAATTATCATCACCGTTGCTATCCCCCTCCTCTCTTCATTTCCCTTTCTTTCTCTTCATCTATTTTACGTTATCATCATCATCATTATCGTTTCTCGTAGACTGTTAGTAGGGCAAGGCTTTCATTCACAATACACAGACGTAATATAGATTAAGGTTTTGTAGTGAAAGTTTTAGTTAGTGGGGCAAGGCTGTAGGAGGATGCTTCATGCTATGCTAATTTCATGCTGTATGCTTGGGGGGAGGGGGGGGTGTGCGCATATGATGAGGATGAGGTATTAATGATAGATTTTATTTTGTCTATTTTTTCGTTGGTGGTGGGGGAGTGGGGGGGGGTGAGGGGAAGGAGGGAGGGATAGATGGATGGGTGGGTGAATGGGTGGAGGGAAGGATGGATGGGTGGGATGGATGTGTGGGTGGATGGATGGATGGATGGGTGGGTGGATGGATAAATAGATTGATGGATAGATGGATTGGATGGATGGATAGATGGATGGGTGGGTGAATGGGTGGAGGGAAGGATGGATGGGATGGATGTGTTGGTGGATGGATGGATGGGTGGGTGGATGGATAGATAGATTGATGGATAGATGGATTGGATGGATGGATGGATGAGTGATGGGATGGATGTTTGGGTGGATGGATCGCTAGGTTCATAGATTTATGGATAGATGGATAGCTAGGTGGATGGATGGATGGGTGGTTGGATGGGTCTTTGGATGGATGGATGCATGGATGGATGGATAGATTGAAGGATGGATAGATGGATGGATAGATGGGTGGGTGGATGAAAGGATGGATGGATGGGTGGGTAGAGGGATAAGTGGAGGGAGGGAGGGAGAGATAAAAAAAGAAGCGGGAGAGAAGGAAGAGACAAAAAGGGACAAACAAACAGACAGACTAACGAAAATAAGTTGCACAAGTCTTTCCATCATATCAAGTAAATAATTTCTAACACAATCAAGTAATTTTCTCGACTTGAATCTACCATAAGAATACAAACCAACCAACAACCAATATAGTATTTTCCTGCAATAATAGTAAATCCAAATAAGAAACGATATAAGGCACAATATTGCAAATCCAAAGAAAATTTATAGCCTTATACTTTCCCTAGAACTAAAATATTTATATAAATTTCAAATAGTTACCTTGGGATATTGAAGAGATCACATCTATTCGTTATTAACGATGATAATTAGGATGATAATGAGGGTGGTGCTGATGTGGTAATGACTATGGTAATGATAGGAATGACTGTGGTTATAGTAACGATGATGATTCTAGATAATGATGATAATGATAATAATAATGATAAGGATGATAGAGTATAATAAATTAGTACTACTGGCGATGATTATAGCTAAAAGAAAATGATGATAATGATAATACGTAATAAGCTAGTGCTAATGGTAATGATGGTAATGATATGGTTACTAAAAGAAATTAAGGATAATGATATCAATAAAGGATAATGGTGGTAAAAGTGATCAAATGGTAATCTTAAGGATAATGATAATACTGATAAGAGTTTTGATAATAACAATGATAATGATAATAACATAATGACCATAATGATAATAGTGATAATGATGGTAATGATGATTAAAATAGTAAAATTAATAATGATAGTAGTAACAATGATAATGATAATTTTATTCGTAAAGACAAGAGTAGCAATAATAATAATGATAATAATGATAACAATGATAATAACGATGATAACAAAAATAGTAATAGCCAAAACAATAACAACAACAATCATAATAACACTATTAATAATGATAATGATAATTACGAATGCAATGAAGAAAATGGTAATTATAACAATGACGGTACAAATGATAATGACGATATCTAAAAGCCTCCAAGATTAATGCTATAGTAGTGTTACCAAGCAAAACAACAGATCACATAAAAAATAGATTAAGTACGTATAAAAACATAGCGTATCATAAAAGGACAAAATTACATTAGCGTTTCGTAAAATGATCTGGGACTTTCATTTCGATAAATCACACTCATTGAAAAAGTTCTAATTATCATCCAATAAACTGTTTATTTTAAGCAAATGTCAAATTCAGATACAGAATCCGTTCTCGGTGTTGTCTGTCTAATGTCCATTTAATTCATTAATTTAATTGATTCATTTAATTTAATTTAATTGATTCATTTAATTTAGCGTTAATT